ACTCATACATCTCCCAGGACAGAGTATCCGAGCTGCTAACAAACTAATTCTGCATAGTTCTCCTGAAAAGCAAGGTGGTGTTATCACCCATATCTTACTCTGATGCAGAAAGACTCTAGGCTATATTCAGGTGACCAGTATTTCACCCATGCCCCTAAGTTTAGTGTTCCCTACAGGCTAGGCAGCTTTGAAGGCCACATCAGCCAATACAGGACTCAATGTAAGGACTGAGGTAAAATTTGACTCTGTTCCACTGGGTGCAATGATGTGTAACCTCTACCACTCTGAGAGGATATGTTTCTAAGTCCAAAGCTCTAGACTTTCATTTTGCTGGAGAGCTGCTGTGCTACCCCCAAAATGAGTCTTTACCTTCCATTCTTCTCTTTCTAATAACTTCTTCAATTCTTAAAAATAAAAAAATTTAAAAAGCAAAAAAATACAGAAACAAAGCCCTCCCCCAAAAATTAGATCCTTGATAGAAATAAAACTTTTTTGAGCTATATAGACAAGAGCTATTTGAAGCCATAAGGACAGGCACAGTCAGAAAGAGAGAGAATGCATTAATGAACTAGAGTACGGTGATCGGAGTGCAGAAGCAAGAACAGAAAGGCAAGCTGCTAGCCCAGCCTCCCTTTCATTCCCAAATACTCAGAATTCAGCTACCCCACTGCCGGCCAGCACCATCACAAGCTGATGCCACCTCAGTTCTTTGTGTCATGCTGTCATCATGTTTTCACAGGTTAGGGCTGTGTTCAGATGGCTTGCATTAAGAAGGTAAATTAGACACTTATGTTAGACACTGAGGCTCTGTAAACTCTCCGGAAAATCAATACTCAGAGTGACAACTGCTTTAAGAGGGCGACTACAAGCATCTCTGTTAGTCTTCAGCAAGGTGGCTGAATTGCCTTCTGAAGGGGTACTTCTCTTACCATTGACCACAAAGAGAACATACAGAGTCCAGGCTCCAAACACAAGCAATCATCTAAGACAAAAGATAGACTGTGGAAATACTACCCATGCTGCTGTCCCTAAGTTATCAGAAAAGTATCATCCAGTAACTTTTTGGCTACCTACTTTTTTAAAACATCAAATGACGTATCAGAGGAATGATAACTGAATAGTCAGGCTGCAACACCTACATATTCTTATCTTTTAAAGCCATTGGGAGACTTCTTACTAGGAGGCCAAAGCCATGTCTTTTTCTGGGTAGGTTTCACCTACCATTCAAAAATTTTTTCTTTCAGAAATGAGGAAGGGATTTGCTTCTCCTAACTGGGACAAGACAAAAATGCAAAAGGTTGTGACTTCCACTGTCTTCCAGATAAGATGCACTTACTGAACCTGACCATTCTGTTAATGACCTCTACAGATGAAGTGTAAAATACTGGTGCAATTAAAAGTGAGGCCATTTATTCATATTTGGTAAGGAAAACGCCTAACAAGAAAAGGATCTGGGAGAGCAGCTTTACAGCATTTTCAGAGAGAGGCAGAATCCACTGTAGACTTCAGAGGACAGAGAATGAAAAACAAAGATTTCTAGGCAGAGCTAAGGGAAGATGACTGGGCATGGTGAGGGATATCTCCAATAACTTTTGCCATTGGCAGAAGGCAGCCTTGCTGGCAGCTATGGAAACAAATGACTGGGATGATATTTTGTGATGGATCAGCTCTTGTTGTTTATTGCAGTGTGAAAAAAAGAGATGCAAAGGGATGTCATTCAGAATAGTGAGTGGCAAATCCCAAACGTTTGAGAGAATTAGAACAGAAAAACCCCAGAACATCTAAAAACAACTCCAGAAATTCTGAACTTTTCAGAGTGAATTGCACTGGGTGAAAGAATCACAGAATCACAGAATCGCAAGGGTTGGAAGGGACCTCGGGAGATCATCTAGTCCAACCCCGTAGCTGTGAAGTTGTAGCTGCAAACAGAAATTCGACTTTTCAGAAGGGTGCCGGAAATCTCACCTGAATGATCTAATTAATCGTGTTTGTGTACTCCCCTGTCTGCCACAATGACTCAAGTTGAGCAGAGCTGCAAAGGCTTGTGTTTCAGCTGGAGTACTGGGCATCAATTCTCTATTTGTGCAGACCAGTCCAACTAGCCCTCTGCAATTCACTCAGCCAACACTGTAGCATGCTTTCTCATGCGAAAAGACAAACTGGCAAACAGAATACTGAACGTGAATTTATACGTCTTTCAAATCTACAGACAGATTGGTTAGGACAGCATTTAGCAAAAGTAGCCCTTGCAAATACTGTAATACAGTCCAAGCTTTCATAATTAACAGGTTTGATACAAAATGCAATCAAAATTTTGTTGCTACACTTGAGGTCTCAGCAGCACGAACTCACCTCAGCTAAAGAATTATTTCCATTTATTACTGGAAAACAGTATAGACAGTTACTGTTCTCCCTGTGCTTCAGCTAGTTGAACACTTCCTCCCTCTCCAAAGTAGACTCTCTGGGTCAGGAAATGCACTCTTCAGCTTCCTCTCAAAGCCGTTTCCTCCAAGGGTAAGGTCTTTCCTGCCTTCTCTCAGTAGGCTGTCTGTGAATGTCCTATATACAAACCTAGCCACTACAGTATCATCAGTCATATTTTGCAGAAGTGGAAAACTGAAATGACTTCTCCAAAGTCAGTGGCAGACATAGGAAGAGAATAATACTATCTAGTCATTATCAGACACTTCACATTGGAAGCTAAAACACTACCCAAAGCATGCCTCTGTCATTACTTCAGTTATATGGATGACTTCCCTTAAGATTGCCCAAGGTGCCAGCAACAGCAATGCAACAGGTCCTCGGGTCTCCCTGGCTCCCACACAGAAACTGTCCCCTAGATTTTGTTACCACTGTTCCTTTTCAGCTCCCACTTCTGTATGTAAATTATCTTCTTAACTTCCCCCTCATTGCCCCCTTATTCATCCAACACATCATGATGCAGCTGCGTCATACTGGAAAAAAAGTGCAGAGCTATGAATGGACTGACAACATTGGCAGACTCTGGTGATCTAAAAGTCACATTATCCTTGGAGTTCACAAAATAACATGTTTGCCATTTATCTCTCAGGAGGCTTCCATACACCATCAAAGAAATATGTATTTTCCAGTCTAGTTAGTTCACCTCTGTGTGCAGATTCCACCTCAAGACAGGAAAGCAAATATTTGTGCTGAGTGACACAGCTAACAGCGCCAGTCCCAAAGATCTAGCTGAATGCTTCTGGGGATATATGCAATTTTGGTCTGGGCTCAAATGTATGGGAAGTGGTGACTTTGACCTGCGCTGTAAAGGATACCAAGGAAAGGACATGCTTACTCATAAGAGAAGTACAGATGTAAAGTGATTTTATAAGAACAAGGGTCTGGGAGAAGCAATTATTTTCCCAAAAAATAGCATACTGATACATTAACAGTTACAAGTGTTAGAAACCTTTAATATTTGGAATCTGCCTGCGCAAGAACTTTCATGCTTACCTGCTATCAGTGACACCACACTATATTTTATTTGGATGTCAGTAGGTATTCAAGGACACAGCATTGCTCTGTTACAAATGCTTTTAAGTCAAGCATAGTAGCAGCAAGTTACTAGACAAAGGGACATTGTGTTAAAGGCTGCCTGCCAGGCATTGCTTATTCAAGTTGATTACACAGAAAGGACAGTAGTGCTGCCACACTTCTGCCCCATGCCCCCTGGGGGGGAAAAAAAAAAAGCCAGGAGTCATATCCAGATTTTCTTCAGTTCTCACCGCATGGGGTAGACAGGAAGAATGTAATATAATATAATGACACAAGGTTTGATCTTGCAAGGTAGTGCACCTAACTGCTTTGCTAGGTCAGTGCAAGCACATTCTTTTAGTTTTAAGTACGAGGAATATATAAAATGCCTCTCACTTGAAAGCTGACTCTGAACATGATTTGAGTCAGAAGCAGAAAATAATCACAGTCATAGGTTATCAAGAAGCAGGA